CTACTAGCTTCTTGTTACTACTAGTAAGGCACTTGTTACTACTAGCGATGCACCTGTTACTAGTAGCTTATAAGCTTCTCCCCAAGTCCTTCACTCTTCTGGCAGTTAGGCCTCCGGATTTTTGTGCGAGTGTACACCTACACTTGCGAGTGTGCTGTCTTTGATGTCCAAAATCTAACAAAGGTATACAAAGGTAATATGTTGACCCCAAGTCTGTGGTCCCGGTCCCAACCGAAGATCAAAGTTTCAATCCGAAACACCACTCGACACTCGACCCTGACCTCCAAGGGACGTGACCGGAAGCTCCAAGAACTGCAAGGCCGCTTTCTTGTGCGACAAGGAAGTGACTGCTGCCTCAGGTGGAACACCTGCCACACCGGTGTGGAAGGCCTCTGCCAAGCCCCATTTCTGTAGCATTGCAGCCAAACGATGGCGTGGCGATGCTAACAAGACACTGCTCAGCGGCGTGTACAAGTCTGGGGCGCCAGATGCATGCGACAAAGGATGAGCCCAATACAGTTGGGGGTCTGCTCCTCAACTGTTTCAAATCGACTAGAGACAGGAAACGAGGATACGACAAATGGCCAAATAGCAATATCAAGCCGCTATGTGATTTGAATGATTAGCCCAACAAAAATATTAATGACTGGGCTTCCAAGCTACTTTTTTCTTGCCAACTTCTTAACCATGGCAAGGACGGCCTGCCTTGTAGCAAGGCTTTGGCATATCTGTAGTCTGATGCTGCTCCTGCGTCTAGAAGCTTAAAAAGTTCGCGCGTGGCTTGAGCATCGCTGCCAATCAAAGCAACAGCATTCACCCGCAGCACGCGCGCAATTCCATGGGACCATGGGATCATCAGAAACCGATGCTGCAAATTGACATGATGCGATTGTAAAAAATCGATCTGTCTCAGTGGCGCTCTGTCGACTGGAGTCTTCTGTGTCGTTTCGCTTACAGGTCACCTGATGACACCAGCTTCGGTCTGGGAGCCTATGACTGTCAAGAGAGCTGAAGGTCGTCCCGCGTGGTCGCGGACAAGGCGCGGGGTGCGACCCTCCGTGGGAGGACTTGGAATTCCTTCTTTCACGAGCAAGATCAAATAGGACATGTTACACCCACAACATCCACATGTTCCACGTCAAAGGGAACTAAGAGTCATCAAACGCATTGAAAAGTACTCTGGATGCAACGCCCCCTCATGTCAACCGAATACAGTAGACTGCACTGCTATAACACCACTCTTCGATGCGGTTGCATCGCGTGCTCTTGAGCAATTTATATAATTATATATATAGCTCATAATGCGTCTGACATGTTGCAAGACAAATGTTTATGGATCCCACCCAGCACCATTCATTGCATCAGGAATTTCAGCGCCCTGATCGAACAATGTTCTTGTCCCCAACAAACGTGGATTCTGAACAACTATTAATAGTCAAACCGCCGTTTGCCACGGTTGCTCGGTGCCTTTGAATGCTTTGTCTGAGATCTTGCCGGTGCGTCTGTCTCTCAGACTCAAGATCACAGCAAACCTCCAGGGCCACAGCACCATGGCTTTGCGTGGACCTTTAGACTATTTAGACCTTTCTCGTTTCCGTCTTGTCCTCTCTGTGTTCTGCAAATATTCCGACTTTGAGGAACACATCTGCAGACGCGTTCATTTCACAAGTTTGTCCCAACCTCTGCCACATGCAATTTGGAGTCAGACTCCACGGTGGAAGGACCTTGGCATGATCTCGCTGTTCTTGTCCTGCTTCTAAAGCAGAAGTAGGTAATTATTGTCTCTTCCACACATCTGTACACTTCCACAAAGCAATCTGTGCACCAATTGGTCCGGGAGTGACAAATGAGTAAAACAAGCAGCAGTCAAGGCTGGTACCAAAGCCATTGGACACTCGCTTTGCTGCCACCTTGGCCGCCAATGGGCCAACGGACAGTCGATAGCTTGGATGATCGCATATTTAAAAACAGAAAGCATATCATCACGCGGGGCCTGAAATCCACACAGGGGTAGGAACCGAGACTCTTTGGCTTCTTGACATGTTCAGGTCTTTTCTGCAAATGAGAGAAATAAATTGAACTATATATATTTAAAAAAAAAAACATCAAATAATCAAAACATGAACAACAAGGGAACCCGCAGCGGAGCCGACTTGAATCCATGCTGCGCCGAGCTTTCTCTCCAAGGCTCATGCCTGACGATCTGCAGCACTGCTGGCTCCTAGACAAATAGAACAGCATGGAAGAACAAACACTTGATATCTTAATATAAATCACGAAGTGCTCAATAAAGTTCAGTAAAAAGTAATTCAATATAGTGCATGAATGTTCATGATATGTCTAGCTTACTCGAATTTCCTCCAGGCTTGCCAAGAGTATTCGGCTCTCCTTTGCAAAAGTTTTTCAGACAAACAAACAGACAGACAGACAGAGAGAGAGAGAGAGATGAGAAAAAACGGAATCATAGATTGACAACATTGATTGACGAAGAATAGAGTCTGGCGGGTGGTGGGGTGAACTTGAGTCAAAGCAAGGTTGGACAAAGAAGAGTAAAGTAAGCAGGGCAGGATAGGGCTGAATATTGTAGTGTAAAGTGATTCATGATCCTAAAGTTCAGAAAGTACAGGAAGTGCAGTAGAGAGTGGCGAGGCTACAGCTCCTGAATGATTGAATGTTGAGAAAAGAAGAAGCACGACAGCACATTGATGAGTAGTGGACCAAAGCAAAGCTGGATATGTAGTCTACCAGAAAGGTCTGGAGCTTCGAAGCTCATAGACAATAATATTCCTAGCTAAGGCTTAGGCCAGGATATGACAAAAAGTCCTACTCTACTTCACCGTATTCTACCCTGCCTGCCGTCTAGTTTAAGTCTTTCAGAAGAGCGCGATGAAGCACACCCTTGGAAACTTGGAAAACGCATCAAATGTATATACTCCGATTTTGGTTGCCTGCCAGAAACCTCTACAAACTGCACCTTCACTTAAACAGAAACAATGGCAAATGTATGATCAATGTCTTTAAGCATGCATAAGCACTCCAACGCATTCTATGTCCTCATCAAAGTCATCCGCGGAAATTCAACGCGGATACCCTGCAAAAAAAACAATTGTAATCCCCAACAGTTGGGGAAAACACAACCATATGGCAAGCTTACGCAACATGCATGTCTCACAACTCCCTTACGCAACCTTACGCTCTTCAGGTTTTTGCTTACGCCCAAGTTCCATATGACAAGGCCTTTACTTAGTTCATCTTGGGAGGTTTCTTGCGGTGCTCAACTGCACATGAACTGGTGAAATCTTGTGAACTTCGTGCCACTCCGCAGGACCCCTTTTGTGTGGCATGGCGGCACGGCGTCGGCCGTGGCACGGTCGGGAGGAAGGCATCAAAGCCGGTGGAACCGGTGTCAAGCCCGGTTTAAGGTCAGGGCTGAAGAAAGCCCCTAGTAGTGTCCTTGCTCCTAGTAAGGCCAGGAGCCCCTAGTGGCTTCTTGTTACTACTAGTAAGGCACTTGTTACTAGAAGCGATGCACTTGTTCCTAAGGGCTGAAGAGAGGTCATTCTTTGGACACGAAATTCCCTCGCAGAATTCCAACATCCAAACCGGCGAACCTCTGAGAGACCGTGTAAGGCCCGAAGAACCGTGGGCGGCCGGAAGAACCGTCCTCTTCTTGGAGAAGACGCTTGTGACGATGCACTTGGAGTTCTGGTCGTAGCTATGTGTGCCTGGCTTGTGCTGAATCCAGAAAGTCATGCATGGAGATGTGCACACATGACTTTGCATCAAGACAAGGTGAAGGGAACCATTGTGCCAAGGTGACAAGCAAAAGAAGTGAGTTCAGAGCTGAACCATTGAGGTGAATATACTTGTACACACACATATATATATATACACAATATATACACAATGTTATGTCTGCAACAACGAACCAAAAAAATAACTGTAACTTGCAGCCGGCCCAATCACGCACAAACCTCCAAAGGTCAGGCATTCGATTATTTTTTGCAGAGATCGGGAACTTTAAAAATTTACGGATTGCTTGCTGGTCACTGCCTCAAAGTTGCTGTCAACTATTTCGAGGGTTGGCAAGCAGCTGCAGGGACAACCTGAATCTGACCTTAATATACCTAATTATATGTAGGATAGGATTAATATAGATATATATAGGTGGATAGGAAAACCCTCTTGCCCATCCTCAACAGCATAAAATAACATGTCCTTTTTTCGTTTGAGGCCCTTGAACTTGTGCCACCAATCCTCTGCAGTGCCAGAGGTGAGGTCCTAAGAGTCCTAAGACCTGCAAACGGATGTTCGAAGTCCGGTAACAAACCGTACCCACTGAGCCCCGTTCGTAGCGTCCCTGCTCCGTTCGTAGCAAGGCCAGGAGCCCCTAGCTTCTTGTTCGAAGGGCCCCAGTGAGTTCGTACGGGTCTCGGACCGGGACCGATGGATCGGTGCACTGCGGAGCGGCTTGGTGGCTCAGTAAGACTGGACTTCGTGGGAAAGACTTGGCCAGGTCAGGCACAACTGGCCTTGGCACTCAGATTCACCCGCTGCAAATGACTCAGGCTGGAAGAAAACGACGGCTGCGTGAGCAAGCCCGCTCGTACAGACACGAATCGAGAGTCAGGGTGGGTCCAAGCAAATCAAAACATGAATTGGCCATTGGGTGAAATTTGACCAACGAAGACTAAACCACATGAGGCTTGGCCCTGCCCTGGAAACACTCAGACCAGGAGCTGAACAAGCAGTCGATTAGAAAAGAGCTCAGACGACACTCCCAATGCTATCCTTGGTCGCACAAAATTGAACTTCCAGCAGAAACTTGGCTAGAGTTAAAACAGTTATGCATTATGCAGTTAGAGTTGCTTAAACTATCTTAAACAGTCTGTTGGTACAAAAGGCACAATACAGGTCAAAGCAGGCACCTTCTGGCTCAACTTGAAACCAAATCGGTAGCAACGGCTTCCAACCTACTAGCGATGGCCTCCGACCTGACAAGCTTCTGTCTTGTCCACTCCCTGGCTGAAAGGATGGAAGATAAAGAGCATCCGCAGAAGGCGGCAACATGAGCCTCCAGGTTTGGGCATAAAAGGTGGGGAGACCGGAGCCTCGTCTCTTCGGTTGGAGTGGTGGCTTTGTTATGCGAGATGGTACGCAATGGTAATATTATCTGTGATCCTTAGCAGCAGAATATTGTCTGAAAAAGAAAAAATGTCAAGTGATGAAACTGATCGGGTCATTCTGATTCTAGCAGTCATCTGGAAGCCTCTGAACCGCACTATGGATCAGAAGCGCAGTTTTGAACAGTTTGTACAGCGGTCAACAACCCCCACCCGATTCAAGCTGCGGCCCAGTTCCGTCTTCTGCTTCTGCGTCCCCGGTTCCCAATCTTGCCTTTTGGTCATCAACCCTTCGTGATTGACGAACAGGACCCGATTGTTTTGGCAGCATTCCTCAGCTCTGTACGTATGCTTTGCTGGGGCCTTTGGGCTCTTTCTGGCTGGTGGTTCTCGGAACTGATGGAAAGATAGCGATGTTGCCTCGCTTCGCAGTCATGGCCATTTACAAAAAGATTCCGGCCAGGCACATTATATAAGAGGCCATATGATGAAATCATATGAAATCTGAATCTAATGCCGGCGTTGAAAAGTGGGTCATGGCACCGGACCCGAAGCTTTCGACGTTGTCCACCGATCACATGGGGGGGGCTTCACACACACTTCACGCCCAAGTCTTGAAACTGAACTTCACATCCTGTTGTTACTAGTAGCGAACCTTGTTACTAGTAGCGATGCCAGGAGCCCCATTCGTAGCGTCCTTGTTACTAGTAAAATCCTTGGCAGGGTTCATCTCTGGAGACATAAATTCCTGGGCGCAAGCCCGCGGCCACAAGAGCTTCAGAAAGCTCCTGGACACTACGAAATCAAACAACTCTGGTCTCAAGTCAAAACTAGATCAAACTTTGGGGCGATCATACATCGTCAGAAATGTGGAATCCAAAAAAATCCTTTATATGTTCAAACATATGTAGAACCATTGAGCGCTACCTCATCATGTCGCTTGGCTCTTCTCTACATTGTATTTCTTCGGCCTTGAGTTCAGGACAACCAAAGGAAACAGAGCTGACCATCTGACCCAAGACCGGTCACTCCTTCCACTCAGCAGAGACCACGTATTCGTGCGTAGTCTTGTTGCCTGAAGGCTGAGTGAGAGTGTCGACCTCCTTTCTGGTACATCTGTTTCAAGCAGCTCGAAAGGCAGCTCGTTTTTGTCGACTGCACCACAGGTCTAGCTTTATGAAACAGCTGCATGGGATCCCCCAGCTGCGTGGGTTCTATTGTTCCTATCCAGGAAGTCGATTTACTCTGTAGATCTCTATGGTCAAAAATGGTTTTTGCATATGTTTGCCCACCTTAAATCTGCCAAAGAATTTTACTTCCCCTCTGACCTGCTCGTGCGCTGCACCGGACGAATCTGGGTGCGCCCTGGAGACAAGTCACGTATGCTGATGGCGCCCCTGCAGAGAACGACTGAGAAGCCGCGGCCATCCTGAGGTCACAGTTCAGACCATCGTTTCATGGCGATCGAAATCAAAAGCAAGTGCCTCTGGGAAGATTCCAAGCAATGCAATGCAATTCAAGAATCAATTCAGAAGCAGACATGCATCTGCCATTTCTCATTTCTAACCAGGGACCTATTGGGACATGTTTTGTAAATGGCATCTACTGACATTAATACCTGCAAGACTTGGAATCTTCTTCCGGCCTGATCCTCTTCCCAGAAAAACTCATCGAGCATGGGCCATGGATGGGGCATGATGGGGCCATGGTCCACACCGCCCAACCCTGGCGAATTCGCAGCTTTGCCTCGAAAACTGGAGGGCCAGTTGCTGCTCCCTGCGCTGTGGACTCCTCTTGTTGTGAGGCCTCAAATCAAGGATTTGAAGAGTGTTTGTTGAATCTGGGTCAACTATCAACTGACAATTCTTCGATGCAACACCCTGGGAAAACTCCGAAGGTGCTCACCATGCAATCGTGTCACAACATTGCGCTCCGTTTGGAAGCTCATAGCGCTCAGCAGAAACAACACAAACGCTCGAGGCCGTCAAAGCTGCATAGACAAAATCATAGACCAAGGAGAGATAGCATCCGATTTCTTTGTTCCGCTTGTACTCTTGATTTCACAATATACAAAATCAAACAAATGAGCCACAAGCTATGCTCATCTGATCTCTGATGTCAAGACTGAGGAACCAACTTGCACAACCTGCGGGCCAGTTTGAGAATTCAAGGGGGCAAAGCACATCATGTCCATGACTTGCACAAGTCTACAGTCTGTCTGTGGATGAGAATGATGAGACACTACCTTCTCGCAAGCTGTTGTTTGTGCAAAGCTCGACATGGGCTTGGTTATATAATGTGCAATAGAGTCTTCCATAACTCACGGATGTACTTCACGGAAAAAAACATCTGCAAATCATTTCCAGCAAATTTACAATTCAGCTCTGACCAACAGTTCTCCTGACTATGAAAAAACTCAAACGATCTCTCGCACGTTACAGACCCATAACTCCAAAGTTCCTACCTGGTCAAGTGAAGAGTAGCTCGTCTGCCGCTCTCCAGCATCAAGCTGCGAGAGGCTGCTCCTGACTGACACTAGTCACTGGTCGTGGCGTTTCCTTCTCTAAGACTCTAAGAGTCTTTTGAACTGGCTGGTTCCAGCTGAGGTGAAGAATCTTAATGTTGAGCAACAACACTATATAAATTTCTCTCCATTGCTGCACTACAAGACCCAAAAGAGAAAATCGCAGCAGCACGAGCCAGCATGGCGAGTCCTTCGCCGAACAAGTTGAGGGATGTCTTCCCCTGTGGAGGCAAAAAGAGATAGATCGATGCACTCGAACATCCGTCTCTGGCCCTGCCGGCGCTGCCAAGTTGTGAGAAATGTGAGGACTCATCTGAACAAGCTTTGCCTGGTACTCTCTCCAACTTGAACAATACAAGAAAAATGGTAAGGGCGGGTAAGGGCCCCCCCCTTTAAAGGGGGCATTCATCATTCAAGAGCCTTACACCTGAGATGTATCGAGATGTGCGTTTCGGAAACTGAAAGCTCTTCAGCTCGTTGCCTCAAAAGGCTTTCGTCATGACGAAGCTTCTCGTTGGTGTCCATTGGTATTAGATGCTGTTAGTAACAAGGGCATCGCTACTAGTAGAAGCTACTAGTAGCTCCTGGCATTACTACCAGTAACAAGAATGCTATTAGCTTGGAGGCCATCGCTAAGACCTCCCACCCGCCGCCCAGCTGCCCGGCCTCGGTGTTCGGGTGTGCATGGTCGAAGTAGAGCGACTCCTGAGACAGAGTTGATCCTTTTAACGGAGAACAATTTGATCGGAGAAGCGACCGGACACACAGGACAGGTGGCCGGGGGTGACCGGTGACCGAGATGGAGATACACAGATCTACATGGAGATCCTTGGGACTTAAATTTATGGAAGCTGTGCACGGATTGCTTTTTCAAAAGCAGCACACGTCCCATGTCAGTCCTTCCACCGCCCGTGCCTGGGACGCTTCCGAACGCTCTCCGAACTCTGTCTCTCAGTGGTGATATTGAGAAATATTCTTTCCAGGCAAAGCAAACATTGACGGCTACAACTTTCACGCAAAGGCCCAGACCCATCCTCAAGGACTGGAAGCCACTCGAAAATGGGAACATCCCATGTTGCCATGGTTCG